GTGTATTATGCCTTCTGGCCTTGCCAATAATTATTTGATTATTGAGAACAGTAAGTAGCCAAGGTTTAGTATTGGAATTAAAATGATTAGTAGAGTAGCAGAAGTAGTTTATAGAAGGTAGGTTATAGTGATTATAAAGAGTATATTTATAAAAATGACTTTAGTAATGTCCTTAAGGATAGTAAACTATTGTGGTATAATACCTTTTAGAATTTTGTTAAGTCTAGGTGAGATATGTTGTCAGTGCAGTAGATATAAATTGTCATGAGTAGTAAGTTGGTCCAGAAAGAGGAGTTTATAATATCTAAGTTGTTTTTTGAAAATGGGATATTTTGAATAAGAGGAAAGAAGAGATTCAAGAAATATAGCTTCATCATTTAGAGTATATGGAATATTGTAGATTGGGTTGGTATTAAGTGTTATTTTGTATAAGTCAAATTATAAAATTAAATATTTACATCTGTTAACATATTTTCTTTTTCACTTTTTATTTCATTTGCCATATTATTAATTATTATTTCATTTATTATTTTATCTATTATAAATTTATTTACATTTTCATCTACCTCTTTATTCACCATTTTTTCTATTTTTTCTATAATCTTGTTTACTACACCATCTACTGTCTCATCCATCTTGTCTACAATCTCTTCTACTACTTTATCTGCAATCTTATCTATTATCTCATTTACTGCTTCATTTACTATATTATCTATCACATTATTTACAACATTATCTTTAATTACTTCAATCATTTTATCTATCCTTTTATTTATTATTTTATCTTTATTAATGTATTCTAATAATTGTTGCTTCTAAATATAATTTATTTTTGGATTAATTAATTTAAATAATATTAAGTATCATGACTAATACTAAAATTGACTAATAAAATCATAATTTATAAATATAAGCATTGCTAAAAGCTACATATACTTTTTAATTATTAATTATAATTCTAAAAACTAAACTATAAACAAAAAATAAGAAACAAATATTTCAATATTTTTTTAAAAATCCATATTAAAATAGGATCAAATTTTAACTTTAGCAATAATAATAAGTTAATAAATTTTTTTTTTTTAAAAAAAAAATTACCTCTATATTTAAAGCTATGGCATCTAAAAGTAATTCTACAACATCTTGTCGATTAAAATTATCCTGAAGCTCAGTAGGCTCAAACTAATTATCAGGCAACTCATCTTTAGAATTAATATGATGCTCTTTAATTTCCTTAAATAATGTAAAATAATGTAAAGATTTGTTCAAATACTAATGCATATAGACTATTTTTAATTTGCTATAAAGTTGTATATTCATAGCATCTAGACAAATTTGTGCATAAAGTATAAACAAATACTAAACTATTTCTTATATATGTTAATAAGTTTAAATAAATTTATTAAAATACTTATAACAGTACAATGATATAGCATGAGACCAATCAGTTCTCTTTGTATCTTCTATTTATTTAGATATTTTTTGTTGAAAAATGTCATTTGCATGTTCTATAAGCCCTTGGCTTTGTAAATGTCTTATGCAATCATTAATAATATGAACATCAGGCTATATAGTTGACAACTTATAAATTACTTCTGCAGTAAACTTATAATCATTATTGGTCTAAAGAATAATTGGTGCACTAAAGCAAACAAAAATATTAAAAAGAAAAACAGCCTCTTTAATTGATTGTTTACTAGTTAAAGCTTAAGCTTAAGAATATTGTGTGAAATGGTCACACATGAGACATATATAATGATAATCCTCATTCAGAATGCTAGTCATAGAAACTAGATCTACTTGAACTTGATTAAGAAAGACATTTGAGATAATCAGCTTTGTAGCTACTAAATTTGAAAAACTTCTTTGTATTGCATATGTTATACAATTTCTTACAAATTTCTTTATAAAAGATTATAAAATATAACTGTATTGTTCTGAACCCTGTAAAATATATAAAAAAATCATTAAATTATTATTCATATTAACTATAGTTTTTTTATAGATTATATACCACATTTCAGAGCTTTGATGAACCAACATGTTTTAAAACCTCTGATGCAAACTGCACAGCACTTCATATATCTTGTCAACAGAGCATACAGGTAGGTTTGAATCAAGTTTAATAAGCTGTATTATGGGATTTGTTGGTGTCTCAAGATCACGTACAGCAAATGTTTTTTTTGCCCAATAATGATCTTTTGCATTTCTGATCATTGTATTTGTTGAATCTTGTAAAACCTTAATACAGAAATCAAAATCTTCATATGTAATAAAGGTTTTATGTTGCCTATTAACTAATTTACTGTTAAGGTATTTGAAAAGTAAGTTTTCAAATACATCATGAGATAGAAATGGGTAGTCTTGATGTTTGGTCATTGGATAAAGAGTTGTAAAAAATAAACAAATGAAATAAAAAAAAAAGTATTTAATAAAAATATAAATTTATTATATGTAATTTAACTATAATTTATCAATTTATAATGTATTTATTATTATATCGAATTTAGTAAAAACTTAAGTTGCATTTAATTTATCAATTATATATTATATTATAGAACCTTATAGAACCAAATTTGAAATCAACTTAAGTTTTTTTTTAAATTTTATATCAATCTTAACTATATTTGAAATTTTATTTCAACCTAAGTTGATTCTAAACCTACAATAATTTTAATCATATATACAATATATTTATTAAATTATTATATATTCTAGAGCATATCATCTGATTATAAAGTTCAGAACATTCTTCTGTTAACTAACCTACCTATTTTATAGACTATTAACAGAGCTAATTTTTGCAAAGTTTATCCAAATCATAGTATCTATTTCATTGCATATTCTTAGTACTTTTAGTATATTTTTATTTTAATCTTAGACTTTCAATTCAAATAGAACTGTAATATGTTTTTGGTACATTGAGTCCAGTCCAATATTTTTTTTTTTAGTCTAATTTCAGTAGTCTGTTAGTAGTACTTCTTATTTAAAAGTTCTTACTTGTCTAATTTTTTTATATTGGTATCTGTTTTCTAGATTTAGTTTTTACAATAGTATTGTTAAAAATTATATTATATTTTTATTCAAAACTTTACAAATAAGCTTTTGTTTTCTCAGTTTTATAAATTTACACATTTACAAAAACTTATTTTGAGTTTGCATTATTTAGTAATGATTAACATTTCTCTGTATAACTAAAATTATACAAATATTCTATAACTTGCCAGTTATGCTGATATAATTATAGTTATAGATATCTGATTCTAACTAATTGTTAGAAAATAGTTGCTATATAATACTTATAATTATATAGATAATAATCTAAATTTTTTATTAAGAAAGTATCAAAAATCAGATAATTTTCTAAAGAAGAAATGTAAAAAAGTTGAAATTATATATAAAGAACCTAGCTATTTATATATTCAGAAAAGAAAAGAAGAATAGATTTTTGATAAAAAATAATCAGATGATTAATAACATGCTCTTTATTAATAGGTTTTGCTTTTATTACTTGTTATTTAAAAAAGTAATAGCTTATTTACTTTACTAAGTAATCATGCTCTTAGAATTAATTTGGAAATTAATAGAATTAGAAGAAAAAAATTAAAGTAAATATAAAATAAAATTGAAAGATAAAGTAAAAATAAATAAATAAATTGTTAATTTTAAAATACAGTAAAAAATCTATATATTTGTTGATTTAGATAAAGTAAAAATTTAATAACAAGTATTATAATCATTTTTTTTAATAATAAGTTTGTAATAATAAAAATACTTATATTTAGTACTAAGTTAAAAAAACTAAAAACAGATTTACTATATTATATATAGTTATACAATATAGTATTTTTTGATATTAAGTTGATCTTTTAAATTTTTTAACTTTATTAATATATTTTTGGGAATGTAGTTTCATAAAAAGCTATTACAGAAAGAATGTATAATTGGTCACTTATATAACTTTTTATATTATCTATTTAAGGAGTTTGTTTAATGTTTTTTACCAATTGCTATACTTAACATTTTTATTTAGATGTTCTATTTTAAACTCTTTGAACTTGTCTTATATTAATAATCATAAGACATATCTATCTGAATATTATTACTTATAAATCAAATGAGTTAACTTACTTAATTTTATATATAAATTTATACAAAAAAAATATTTAAATTAAATTTATTTAAATATATATATAAATCTTTTTTTAAATTTTTTTTTTTTTTTTTTTTTTTTTTTTTTATTTATTTATATAATATCAAGTAGGAAAATATAGTAATACATGAGTATATCAATTG